TTTATTTGACTGTATCTTACAGAATTAAATTGTATATTAATGTATTAAATAATCATGATTACATTATACAAACTTAATATTTTATATTTGTGTAGTATCTCAAGATTTAAACCACCACACAAAGTTTATTTATATTCATTACCTGAAAACAGTATTCAGAATGCTTTTTAAGAGTTGTTACATGTGACAGTTAAGACACTTGCCCTCCTACTGGAGAAAACCTCTTTGTCCAGATGGTCTCTGTTTAAATATGTTGTCATTCAAATCAATTAGGACCTTTAGCTTTGACTAGAGCTAAGCAAATCAACAAATGGCTTCTCAAATAGGAACTGCTCTTATCATTCTATGTCAGTAAACAAAGTTCTTAAAGCCTGTATGTCTTAACATTTATTCAGTGCTATGTTTGTTCTTTTGCGAACTCAGTGCTATGTTTATTCTTTTGGGAGCTCTGGTAGTGTAGTAGGAGCTCTGGTGGCGTAGTGCCTAAGACATTTGACTGCTAACCAGGAGGTTGGCGGTTCAAATCCACCAGACACACCTTGGAAGGAAGATTGGGCAATCTACTTCTGTAGTGATACTGCCTTGGAAACCCAAGGAGGGGTTGCTATGAGTCGGAACTGACTCCATGGCAGTGTGTTTGGTTTTAGTTTTTGGTAGCTTAGTGCCTAAGGCACTTGACTGCTAACCAGAAGGTTGGTGGTTGAAACCCACCAGCCACTCCTTGGAAGGAAGGCTGGGCAATCTATTTCCGTAGTGATACCGCCTCGGAAATTCCAGGAGGGCTCACTATGAGTCGAACCGACTGAATGTCAGTGAGTCTGAGCTTGATGGTTATTCTTTAAAGTTTCAGGTATAACTACTTAATTTTACACTTTAGAAAAGGTCTTAGCCATTTTGCCAATAGGTAGGCCTGTCTCTATCAGATGGAAGGGTTCCATACATGGGCATAGATCTAATTATGCATTATTAGGCATTATTTTTTAAAACTCTTAGCTTTAGGTATAAAAATTCTTTGAGTTGTGCTCATTCTAGTATGATGTGAATGAACTTTTATAATTTATTATAATTGGTAATTTGGTTACTTGAGAACAAGCAAATCTTTTGTGAATACTGTGATTTTAGGATGCCTTGCATATTGTAATGATAATTCTGTTTCTTTTATTTTAGTTTTGTGCCTGATTGCTTATCATCTACTTTTTGCAATGTTTGTCTGGTCATACTGGAAAACTATCTATACATTACCAATGAATCCTTCAAAAGAAGTAAGTTAAAACGTTAGTAAAGTTATTCTAAAGATTGAAATAAGTGGTATTGATGTGTAAAGAGTGAATTTTATTTCTTTTTCTAATGGTGTGAAGGTCACCACACTGGGTGGTACAAACAGTTTGTGTTCAGCTGCTAACCAAAAGGTTAGCAGTTCAAACCTACCCAATGGAAGAAAGGCCTGATGATCTGCTTCTATAAAGATTTCAGCTAAGAAACTCCTATAGAGATAAATTTAATTCTCTAACATATAGGCTTTTGGTTTATTAATGTAAAATTATTGGATGCAGTAATTCTTTTTTTCTTTTTTTTAAATTAATGTGTCTATTAGTAAATAATTGAATTTTCACTTGGCAAATAGTATTTTTGCACTGGACAAGTATTATATTTCTGGTATGAAATCTGTTATGGGTTTCATTTCTAGTTTAAAGTGAGACAACAAAGTGGGTGGACAGATGGATGATAGACGTGTAGACTGGTAGGCATGTAGATAGATAGAACTGAAAGGTTGATAAAGTTTTGTTATAATTATCACACTAAAGACATATTAAGAAGCTCTGGTGGTGCTGTGTTTAAGGCATTGGGATGCTAACCAAAAGATGTTGTTGTTGTTGTTGTTAAGTGCCGTCGAGTCGTTTCCGGCTCATAGCGACCCCATGCACAGCAGAACGAAACACTGCCCGATCCCGCACCAGCCCCACAATCCATGCTGTACTCGAGCCCATCATCGCAGCCACTGTAT